TAAAAGGACCCTCCTGTCTTTTGGCTTTTTGAAACTCCGAGCAACGGTCTCCTCCAGCGTTCCTATTGAGTCACGACTGGTCAAGTATCTTTCATGTCTAGCGCTATAGAAAGAAAGCTGGCGCAGGAGCAAGACTGCAACCCATAGTTGGCCATTTGCTGTAAGAGTGTCTCTCCCTTCCCCCTCCTCACACCCACCCTCTCCAGTGGTAGTGGTGGGTGGGTGTTTTTTTTTTTTTTTACCTAAACGTAGGCTTATTTTTGGTGATGTCATTGTTATTCCCTTTAATTTAGCGATTTCATCTGTATTTCTAAGTGTTGGCATTTGTACAGGTCCAAGGGGTAAATTCTGAAGACGGATGAGTAAAACAGTGCTGTTTGTTTGTTTGTTTTTTAACTTTATGTCATGCCACTTTTTTCCCCTTAAATGGGATTAGTTCACATGTAAAAGTCAGCTCTGGGCCCATGACTGTTTTTTTTGCAATTGGCCCACTTGCGCGGCGCCTTGGCGCCGTTTGCACCCTCCAATGTGCAGGCACTGCCTGGGGAATCGATCCGGTCCTGCAGTTACTAATCGCCTCTAAACGCGATGAGCAGCAGCCTGGCCTGCCGCCGGATACGTGCGTTGCCACTGCCCTTGTCTGCGACAGCGCTGGTCCCGGGGTCCCGTCCTCGGGAAGGGAGGAAGCGGGCACGGGCGTTTGAACGGAGCAGAGGCCCCTGCTCCTGTCTGCTGGGCGAGGAGGGCGAAGGAGATTTCGGCTGTGCGCACCCGTTAGCGATCCCCAGCCGTGGGGAGCGGCGTACGGATGAAAGGCTGTTGGGAAGTTGATGCAGACAGAAAATGCTTGTGCGTTTAACTCGGTTAAAGATTCAGACGTCCGGCCCCCTCTTTCTGTGGTCGTGCAACCCTTTCCTCACTGGGGCAACAACAGAAAAACAGCATTTTGCAAAAGTGTAGCAATTCCTTTTGCTGGTAGGCGGAGAAGGAGGGAGAAATAGTCGCCAGAGCGTCTCCCTTCCCCCTCTCCCCTTTAATACAGTTTATTCATCTATAAGTTGCAGTGAGTAGCTTACAGCTACCGTCTTGCCAGACTGCATGAATTATAGATGGCTCTTTTATGAGTTTTCCTGTTGACTCCAGCAATTAGCATGCACTGGGCGTAGTTATCTTTATGGCATCTATTGCAGCGTAGGTCTCTGCTCCTCTGACTTCTTAATTGCTTACTGTTTTAGCCATCAGTCATTTGCCTGTCTTGTGAAAGAGCGGAAGGAAAACACAGGCAGCTCGGTAGAAACCTGCAGTTCAGAGTGGAGCATCAGGGCTGAAATGACCTGGTCTGCCAGGGGAAAATGGCATAAATAGAGATGTGTTGTTGTTTCCCCCCACGCACACCCCCTTGCCTGGGTGTGCTTTTAAAGGCAGAAAGCACCATGCGTGTTGGGCTGCCACTCTGCTAGGTGAACTGCTAGGGCGTCTGTGCCTGTTTTACAGCAAAGTCATGGGCATGAACTGCATGATTTTTTTGAGTCATACCTAGCTACGGCAGATGAGCGGGCGGGCACAGACCTCTACGCGTCCACGCACCTGCGTTTTGGATGCTGCCGTTGGCACCCGTGGGTGCTGTGCTCTCTTCCAGTCGCTCCGCTTGCTCCGTCCCATGCGGGACTCCCCTTGAAGAGCTCACGCACTGATCGCTTCCCTTGCCCGTTTAATTGGGATGCTGAAACATCAGATAAATTTCTGGAGGAGGACTGTGCAAACAGCCCAGTCCTGCTGCTGCCACGAAGAGGAAGGAGAGCGACGGCTGGTACCGCTTTGCGTTCCTGTGGGTACAGATCTCATGGTGACTTGCTTCAAGCGTCATAGCCCTGGCGCTGCCCTGCTCAGTGAAGCAACAGCCTGAGAGCGCTCTACGTTTCAGGAGAGCCAGCGCAAAGGGAGGTGGTTTGAATCCTGCTTGCTTAGGAGTTGGTGGCAGCTTCTTTTAGGAAGGGAAGAATTTGCACGGTCAGCTGAGCTATGGATAGTGAAAACGACTGCCTCCGTAACCGCTCAGAACAACCCCGTGCTGCCGGCACTCATTTGGGCTGCAAGGCGCTGAGAGAGGTAGATGTAATTCTCTCAGGGCAGGGTTTAAGCCACGTACTTTGAAGCCAGTAGAGGCTTAAAATATAAAGATGTTGAGTTTGGGGATGGGCTGTATCTGCATTCTCGTAGTGGGAAGACGCGTGGAAGCATGTTCTTGTTTCTTCCTTTCCTTTCAACATGTTTGTTTAAGGAAAACGGAAAATGGCCTTTGGAAGCCCGCTAGGTTGCGATGGTTGTTGCAAGCAATAACTGAGGTAGAACCAGATCTCCAAACTTTGTGGGCTGAAGGATTTTTCCTAGCCTCTGTCTCCAAGCAGATTGAGTGCTTCTTGCCGCACCTAAGATTTTGATCTGCCTGGGCTACATGCTTCAGGTGACCCTGCTCGAGCAAAGGGGTTGGACTGGACGATCTCCAGAGGTCCCTGTCAACCTCAAGCCTTCTGTGATCCTGTGAGGAGAAAGCTCTGGGAAGCTTGAGAGCTTGAGCGATGGAGCAGAAAGGAGAGGACATACTGCAGGCTTTGGCTACGTGAATGTCGTGGTTCTCAAATAGGTGTAAAGAAATGCTGTGTGTTAGAACGGCGTGACTTCTCAGCGGTTGCTTTCTCATCTAGGGGATAATGTAACGTAACATAAAGGAGCTCTTGTACTGCCAGCGTTTCCAGCCCTGTGGTAAAACAGTGATTCACTTGTGCTCTTATCCTTTCCAACTAGAGGATCTTGAAAAACTCTCTTATACTGAAGAAACTGGAAGCAGACGTCCCTGGAGTTTTGCACTGAGCTGAAAATGAGGATCGTTATTTTTTGCTTACCGTCTTTTTTTTTTTTTCTTTTTCTTTTTTTTTTTTTTAACTTTGCCCGGCACTAGGTCAACCTCTGACTGTTATCTGGCTTTTTCCTTCCTCTTCTCACTGTTTTTGTGCTCCTTATTGAAACCCCTCTGGAGTAAACCAGAGCGTTGCAGCAGCAGCAAATGCGCTGACCGCTCCTGCGGAGGGACATTTGGCAGGTACGCAGCTGCCCATATTAATCTTCCTTCTGCTTTCCTGTTTGCAGTGTATTCCTAGCGCCCTCTCAGCAATTTGTTTTCTGCTGGCTCAAGATGCATCAATGCAAAAAACGCAGGTCTTAGGTGGCACTTTTTCTTTGTGTGTGTGGGTTTGTTTGGTTTTTTTGGATGCTTCAGTGATGCTGGTTCTGCATCGATGTCACCGACATGGCAACATGCAAAGACCGCCTGTGAGGCCTCGATATCTTCATGTCGCACAAGATTTATCCTCACCAGTGGCTGCCAAATTTACCAGTTGGGTTTTAATTTTGACTTTTCTCCCCAGTGTAGAAGGTCTTCTGCACTGCTTCATCGCTGCCAGTCCAGCTGTCACTTTTACTCTGCTCCATTTTGCGCTGGAGAGCAGTATGAGGAGGCTGAAGGCCAGAAGCATTTGTGATGGGAGAGGTGCAGGGCACTTGTGAGAACGCACCCAGACAAATGTACAGCTAGTTTCCATCCTCCCCACCCCTCAAATGCCAAAACTGTCCCACCATTAAAATAAATACCCCCAAATGCTCATCTGTAATTTTAAATTCCATTGCGGGTTTGTGTTGGGAGGCGGAGGGGTTGGGATCAAATTACTTACAAAGCTGCCTGGGTCTGAAGGCTTGTCCAGAGCCGTTTGGGCTGCGGACCACCGTCAACACTCCCATTTAAGAACACGCATGAAGAAATATAAATCCAGTACGTGAAGGTAAAGGTGGATCTGCAGACCAGCCATGGCTTGGCAAGTAAGCGAGGGAACCATTGCTTCCTGGAAGCCAGCAGCTTTGTCCCCTGACTTCTCACTTGCACAGAGCAGAGCACTTTTGAGTTTCTGCCTTCAAATAATTCCTCCTGAACGAAACCTCTTTACTCACCACTTGTGGAATTTGGAAAGCTGTTTGACTCCTCTTCCACGCAAACACAATTTATTCTCGCTTTGCTCTTTGCTCTCCCAACTTTCTTCTGAAAACTTAATGCAAAGGATTTTCAGTGTCCAGAAAGATCTCGCTGCAGTCAGGCTGCATCTGGAATGATGCTGATCTCATTGGGTGGAACAAGCTAGTCTTGCAGAATAACCCTGGGCAAAAGCTTCCTCCTTCCTTCTCCGATTTTACGTAACAGGGATTATTTGTTTAAGGATTAACGTGTACGTTCGGGATTCAGTATTATTTGACCCATGCAACAGAACAAAATACAGTCAACTTTCTGGCTGTACCTGGCTCTTCGAATTGCACTTCGAGGGTGCTACTGCTGCAGGGGGGCCAAGGCCAGCTTGGGCGCACTGAGCGCTGCGTCTGAGATGACGTGCATACAGCTGTGCCACCTCCTGACTGGGCAATTCAGCTGCTTTTTAGGCGGCAATGGAGCCTGAGCTAATTTGAATCTGCTGCATCTAAGCTCTTTGAGAGCAAACCAGCTTGGATCTCCCTGCATCGCATTTGTGCATCATGTTACTGCCTGTGCTGGAGCCTGATGCAAAACTTTTGATATGGTTTTCAGTGGAACTAGCATGGATCTGGGAGGCTTTGTTAGCTAGACGTTTGGCTGCCTCTTCTCAGGTGTCCCTGCTCTGCCCTGTTCTCCCATCTCATATGCTTCTGCTCCATGGTGTCACTAGAGAATTGGTTGTATCGTAAAATAAGCCTGTCATGGTAACCAATAACTCAAGTGCTTAGTCTTATTAGCAGAAGTAACTTGGAACTTGAGTAGAATTTGTTGGGCTGATGCCTGGTCTGTGTTGCTATAAGGTTACAAGCTAGTCTGGAGTTAGCATACTCCGCAAATACTTGCGTGTGGTGTGGTTTACTTGATGGTATGTGAATCTAATTTTAAAAAAGATTTCTTATTTTTATTTTCTTTTTTCTATTCCTAGTAACGACTTCTACAACTGAAGATGTCTAACAATGGAGTTGAAGCAGAAGACAAACCGCCTGCTCCTCCGATGAGAAATACCAGCACGATGATTGGGTCAGGGAGCAAAGACGCTGGGACTTTAAACCATGGCTCAAAACCTTTGCCTCCTAACCCAGAAGAAAAGAAGAAGAGAGACCGATTTTACCGATCTATTTTACCGGGAGATAAAAGTATGGTATTTTAACTGTTCATACAAACCTTCTGTCTGCATGTTGCTCAGAATGACCTTAGTTAAAAACCTGACCCTTAATCATGGTTTAGTTTTCGGGATAGATGGCTCACATTTACTTCATATGCAGCTGTCTTGATCATTTTGGGGAACATAAGCTAATGACTGTAGTTCTATTTTCCTAATAATTAACCCTGCCACAATTAATCTATCCTTCTTAATCTGTTTTGCACATTTTTTTTTTTTTTTAAATTACAGTAACAGTATCCCTGGAAATTGGGAGTAGTTTTTCCTCTCCCTTCTCCCCCCACCCCCGTCTGTCCTTAAAGGTCTTGGAAAGTTATTTAAATGTTTGCACCAATTACAGGCCGGTCAGTTAAAGGTGGCCATTGGCAATCTCTCTGGAGGGGCGAGAGGAGGTTGTTTCTTTGTTGCTTTGAACAGCAAATAATTTTGAATCAAGTATGTTTAACAGGCAATCTCCTGCCGGGACTGTCATCTGTTACTACATGGTCTGTTGCGAAAAGCTTACCATCAAAGGTGTAATTTCTCATCTTACTCTGTTTTAGAGTTTGTTTCAGGCATTGTCTGCTTGCTGTTAAGAATAATCTGTCACTGTAAGTTCTCGCACACTGCGTGTGAACCGAAGGAATTTTCCCCTGTTATAGGGACTATGACAGATGGAAATGGGGATAAGAACTGTGAACTGTACATGCAATTCTAATTTTTAGGATCAGGATATCTAAAAAATATATATCTATCATGCGAATCATTTGAAGTGATGTAAGGAAAAAAATCCAGTCTGTAACCTGTGCTTTCTTTTCAAATCTGACCTATTTTTGGAATTCCTCTTTCTAATGCATCAGCTTTTTGGACACCAGATAACTGAACTCTAGTTATCTTCCGTTCATGAGCTCCAGGAGGGAAGCTGTCTCCTTAATTGTTGTTTTAGCAAAAAGACTAATTGGATTGATAATTCTACCTATTTAAATAAGCAAGATGCAGGGTTCTGGGGGAACTTTCTTTTCTACAAAACGTTGCAGCATTCATTATTGAACATCTAATACCTTTGGCAACTTTGGATTGTTTTCGGACACAGATTTTGATCCTGCAATGCAGAAACCCATAAACTCAATGTTAAAAACTTGCAGGATCTAGGTTAGAACTTGCCATTTTGAGTATTAATCCTAAAGAGCTGTAGGATTTTTTTGTTGGCTTATTTTAAAGGAGTGTGTTTTTTTGAAATCTTTAATCTCAACAGTTGCAGAAAGCAAAGAAATCGCCTGAAATTTAGGAGAGATTAGAAGAATTACAGCCTGAAATGCTAGTTTGAACTGTATTTTCAAGGAGAGTCGCAAAAATGAACAGCTCAGGTAAAGTCAACAGACAGACTGCCACTGATTTTAAGGTGCCTGCGTTCGCTGAAGATAGGCCAATGTGGCAGATGCTTCAAGACATGAGAGATTTTTGTTTAGCCAAGCCCAGCAGAGCCTTCTGTTGCAGTACACCTGCCCAAGCTAGAGTGGTTGCTCCTGTCCTCTAACTCCTGCTCAGCAAAAAAAGGCTTTAACACTGTCACCTTCACTTTGGATTGGTGGTTTTTCACCTAATGAAAACTCCTTCTAATCTTAGGATGACAACTAAATTCCCAGTGCCTGCTGCTGCTTAACTGTTGTTAGTAAACTTCCCAGGTGTTCAGACACAGTGTCTTTTTCTTTTGTACCAGAAACAATTTGGGTGGTGTTTGTTGGTTTGGCTGAGAGAGATTTTTTCCATTCAGTCAAAATCAGATTAATTTAGGGGAAACCATGACCTTTTGATTGCCCTGGGCGAAATAAGATCACTATATGCTTGTCTAACTTCTTACGTTCTTACCCTGTTCAGCTACTGCTAGGCGTGGCACGCTAGGCTAGGTGAATCACAGAATCGTTTAGGTTGGAAGGGACCTCTGGAGATCATCTAGTCCCACCTCCCTGCTCAAGCAGGGTCCTCTAGAGCATATTTCCCAGGATCACATCCAGACGGGTTTTGAATATCTCCAGGGAAGGAGACTCCACTACCTCTCTGGGCAACCTGTGCCAGTGCTCTGTCACC